CCCCCCCCTGTATCCGCCCCTGCTTATTTAGTTACTATTGTTCTAATGAATAATTTAATATAATTGTAATTTCATTCAACCCTATAAAGGCTGGCTTCTTTAAATTTATGAAGGGTCCAGTTGGGGACGACCCGCCCTACCCCCTCCCCTTAAAAAGGCCTGGAATATGTTAAAAATAACATTTGTGTTGTTGTTGTCAAATAAAAACATGTGACAACTGATTTTATTTTTACTTATCAATGACTTTTCCGAAATGTAACTTTTATATACAGTAATAACAAGAAAACAATGAAATAGGAAGACGTCATTACATTAATACTTAAGTGTATTTGACGGTGTTACAAAGCAAATAATTTTCCAGACACTTAAATTTTTTTTTGTGAAATTGGTCTGTTTACACTGCACAATTGCTGTGTTTCATGGCTTCTGAACTTTTTAAAGTTAAAACTTTATCCTCAGAATCGTCTTACTATTCCTGAGTTTTCTGGTCATCACTGAATGTAGCTTAGCCCTATTCCTGCTGGGGGGGGCAATTAGACCCCCTCTGTAGTTTTTTTAACATAACTCAAAAAGTATTGGTCTGAGGCTGTTGAAATTTTCTGAGTTTTCCTAAATACCCAAACCCTGCACTAAGTAGTTATCACGATTCTAAACACTTTTAAATTAAAAGATATTGTTGTATTCCTTAAAATACCCTAAATTATTTGGGTCGTAAACGAATTTTTCCACAGAACAACGGGGGCTTCAATATCTTAATATCACCGGGAAGGTTTAAAATGAAATTGTTTTAAAAATGTATTTTAATATTTCATCCATATTTTTTTAGACATTCTTCTGAGTTATGAACAGCCTAGCACTGTTCCCTCTTGGAGTAATTCTGCTCTCCCTCAAAAAAGTCCTACAGGGGAGTTCTATTCTACCTCAGGGGAGTTCTGTTCTACCTCAGGGGAGTTATGTTCTACCACAGGGGAGTTCTGTTCTCCTACAGTGGAGTTCTATTCTACCTCAGGGGAGTTCTGTTCTACCTCAGGGGAGTTCTGTTCTACCTCAGGGGAGTTCTGTTCTACCACAGGGGAGTTCTGTTCTCCTACAGTGGAGTTCTATTCTACCTCAAGGGAGTTCTGTTCTACCTCAGGGGAGTTCTGTTCTCCTACAGAGGAGTTCTGTTCTACCTCAGGGGAGTTCTGTTCTCCTACAGAGGAGTTCTGATATACATCAGGGGAGTTCTGTTCTCCTACAGAGGAGTTCTGATATACCTCAGAGTAGCTCTTTTCCTCCTAAGCCAGGTATTACTAGAAATTCATTAAAACGTTTGTTAAATTGTAAAAGAATTTTTATCCTGTATTTTTACTCACAATTTCATGATTTTGGGTACAAGCTTGCATAAATATATCTTAGTATTTTTTTTCTATATTGTTTTAACAATTAAAATTTGTGCTGAATTTTGTTAATTTTAGACATTGCAATTTTTTTGTTTCAGCCAAGAACAAGAGAAAATTTGAAGAACAGGCAACAGAAGAATTGTACACCTCTAGCTTTGAAGAAATTCCAGAAAATGGATCTATTGCTGACGAAATTATCCAGCCATACAAAAAAGAAGAATTAAGATGTCTAACTACAGAAATGAAAAGTACAGCAATGTGCCAATGAGTTGCTGAAATTCTCTCTAACTCTTCAAGGATATTCAAGAAAAGTTTACAACTATGTCAGAGAAAGTTTTAACAAACAAAAATAGTGAAAAAACTTGCAGCTATATATTTCACAATGAGACTTCGCCATTTTTGCAGACTCAAAAAGTTTGAAACCAATTCTGGAATCAGGCACAAAAATACTAAGCTAATACTGTTTAAAAATGAATAACTTTCAAATTATCCATTTTGAATNTAAAGAGACGGGATTACAACTGTAGATACTGGAGTAAAGAGACGGGATTACAACTGTAGATACTGGAGTAAAGAGACGGGATTACAACTGTAGATACTGGAGTAAAGAGACGGGATTACAACTGTAGATACTGGAGTAAAGAGACGGGATTACAACTGTAGATACTGGAGTAAAGAGACGGGATTACAACTGTAGATACTGGAGTAAAGAGACGGGATTACAACTGTAGATACTGGAGTAAAGAGACGGGATTACAACTGTAGATACTGGAGTAAAGAGACGGGATTACAACTGTAGATACTGGAGTAAAGAGACGGGATTACAACTGTAGATACTGGAGTAAAGAGACGGGATTACAACTGTAGATACTGGAGTAAAGAGACGGGATTACAACTGTAGATACTGGAGTAAAGAGACGGGATTACAACTGTAGATACTGGAGTAAAGAGACGGGATTACAACTGTAGATACTGGATTAAAGAGACGGGATTACAACTGTAGATACTGGAGTAAAGAGACGGGATTACAACTGTTAATACTGGATTAAAGAGACGGGATTACAACTGTAGATACTAGAGTAAAGAGGCAGGATTATAACTGTAAATACTGGAGTAAAGAGGCAGGATTACAACTGTAGATACTGGGGTAAAGAGACAATATTACAACTGTAGATATTGGATTAAAGAGACGGGATTGCAACTGTAGATATTAGAGTAAAGAGACGGGATTACAACTGTAGATACTGGAGTAAAGAGACAGGTTACAATTGTAGATACTGGAGTAAAGAGACGGGATTACAACTGTAGATACTGGATTAAAGAGACGGGATTACAACTGTTAATACTGGAGTAAAGAGGCAGGATTACAACTGTAGATACTGGAGTAAAGAGACGGGATTACAATTGTAGATACTGGAGTAAAGAGACGGGATTACAGCTCTAGATACTGGAGTAAAGAGGCAGGATTACAACTGTATATTCTGGAGTAAAGAGACAAAATTACAAATGAAGATACTGGAGTAAAGAGGCAGGATTACAACTGTAGATACTGGATTAAAGAGACAGGATTACAACTTTAGATACTGGATTAAAGAGACGGGATTACAACTGTAGATACTGGAGTAAAGAGACGGGATTACAACTGTAGATACTGGAGTAAAGGGACGGGATTACAACTGTAGATACTGGAGTAAAGAGACAGGATTACAACTGTAGATACTCGAGTAAAGAAACGGGATTACAACTGTAGATACTGGAGTAAAAAGACAAATCAAGGCTCTAAATATTAGAGTAATGGGGGATGGATCACAATTTTAGTGGACATGATTAAAGGAACAGGTCAGAAACATAGAGAATAGAATATATAGAGAGGAATTAAAAGAATTTCTCGGTATGAATTTTTTCAGTCCCTTTCAGCCTGAAAGGGAGTTCAAAGTGTAAAAATCATGTAAATGTTCACAAATTATATGCAGTAGAGTACATTAATACAGTATGTTCCGTAGACTATCCATTTCAATTTCGAATTTTTTAAACTGTTAAATAAACTTTATAATGAATTAGGTGAATAAAAACATCATTTGATTTATGGTTATAACGGAAAATCATCGTTTGTAAAGTGAAAAGGCATAGAGTCTATGTGAAATGATCATTGCTCAATTATGAAACCAGCCTATTTCATAATTTGGTTTTCTTTTAACAATAATTTTCGATTTTCTATAAAATGTTATTCCAGGGCCCAACAGGTTATATAGCATAAATATGTGAAGTACACCTGCAGTATGGAAACAGTACAACAAAATGGCCGTTTTACACTTTTTTCTAGTAAATTCCTCTCTATATATTCTATTCTCTGTGGTCAGAAAGGACTCGTGTAACTGGCCCAAATTACGAATAGTATTACTCCGCGCTTATCAAAGAAAAATCTAAAAAGAATTGAGTATTTACCGCAAAATTGAAATTTCTAATCCCTATATCTTTGTAATTTGATGGTGTAAACCTTTGATATTAAACGCTTAGACTATTTGATCTAACAGAATTTTCATTTGAAATATCACAGATCTATTACATTGGGTTGCAAAGTATAGAGAGATTAGAAAATCAGAGTTTGTGGCAAAAATCACTTTCTCAGCTAAAAGGATGTCAGTGAACCCCGGGATAAGTAGCATTAGAATTAGTAGATATTGCATAATTCTACCTTCTGCCTGTTTTCCTATATGGAACGTGAATTAATGTTGTATTATCAGGGAAACAGAGAAATATTGAATAGATACGTTTACATACATTTATATCTATTTATATTCATTTCTTTATCCTTCCTATCCAGAATTTCGTCCATACAACCTATTTTTCATTATAACAGAACGAATAAAAAAGCAATATTAACAAAAGTCCCAAATGCCTTTTTAATATTTTTGATTAAAAATAACTTGACATTTTGTCAATAAATTAATTGTTTGTTTGATGATAAGTATTTAGGGTTAATTGTATTAAATACAATAATTATATCTATATTGATAATTAACATGATGAACAATTAAACGGAGAAAGGGGAGGGTGGTTGTGGGGGGGGGGGGAGTTTATCAATCGGTATTTTAGTTTTAGTGTAATTCTTACATATATAATAATGATAATATTAGGTTCAACTATAATGATGATTTATATATTTAACTAATAGTTGGTATTATACTGCAGTATATTAGAAGTAAAACCAATCTAATGTTAGTAATATTCAACATACATACATATTAACCCCATAAGCAAACATAATATCACTTGTTTATTAAAGGGACTGTAAAGGAAAAATAAAAGGGGGTATAAGCTGAAAGCGACCCATAAAAGTTATATCTCGAGAAAATTATATAAAACTAGTCAAATTTCTACGAAAATTCATATATATACAATTTTGTATAGAAAAAGCAGGTTTAAACAGATCATATTCAGCAAATTTGCAACCAATCTGAAAACGAAGATATCCCAGAGAAACTTAATAGTAACTTAGGTTTTCTCCAATTATTATTTTATAATTTTTTTAATAGATATAATTGATAATATTATTTTTATGTCCGTATTACGTCACAAGAACTCCCACCAATGGTAGTGTAGTATACTGGTCACTGGAAACGTGTCTCTGTCTGTATCATTTGACACAGTTTTATATCAATTTCTCGAGACAGTAAATCAGATATAACTTTATGATGTATTTCATTTACATATCAATTACTGGTGTAATAGCAAAAAAAATGTCCAAATAAGATGTTCGAAAAAACCTATTTGTTAATAAACTTCTGTGGAGACCATTTTCAACTTTCTAAATTATTTTTGACCATCGGAAACAATTCTCAAAAAAAATGAGGGTTTGTCAACGAAACTTCCCTTTAAAGTTTAAGATTTATTCACAATGGTATTCTCTAAGCAAAAATGATGAAGTTATGATTTTCCATCTGAAAAATTATCTTTTTTTGCAGTTCTCAAACAAAAGGGACTCTTTAAATTAAAGGGCCATTTCTAATTTGCGCGGCGCTTTTTTCTGTTATAGAAAATTTTGATAATCATAAGCAATAAGCATGATGAATAACAGTTTACAAGAAAAGGGAAGAGAAAAATGTTAGAGAGTAAAAAATAAGTTTGCAAAGTTTAAAACTAGTTTATCCTAGTTTTGTCTAGTGTGTAACAGTATACAGTGCAGTGTTTAGCTCTTCCCTTGACAATCCATTCAAACTCTTCTTTAGAATATAAACAGAGCCAAACCTATACCTGTATATCTATCTTTCTAGCTATCTATCTATCTATCTATCTATCTATCTATCTATCTATCTATCTATCTATCTATCTATCTATCTATCTATCTATCTATCTATCTATCTATCTGGAGGCTGAAATATCAAATTTCTGTTTAAACATCCACTAATAGGTATACAAGGTATATTATACATTTCCTTAACTCCACAAAATATCAAGATAGAAAGATAGATAATTATATAAAATAATCAAAAAGAAAAATATCAAAGGGATTTTTCCAATATCATTAAATAGAAATTAATTATAAAATTTTACAAGCTTATATGTGGGGGGGGGGGGCAGTGTGCAGTTGTGAAGTGTAAACCCCCTTTCATTCTTCAGGGAAGGGTGGTGCCCCTACGTTTTACACTTGAATATAATGTTCGCTAGTATTTTTTTTATTGATAATATCACTATCATTATCATTATTATTACAACAAATTATTATCATTATTTTTATGACTTTTCTTTAATATTATTGTTATTTTTGATATCAATATTATCATTATTATTATTATCATCATTATTATTATCATTTTGATTATTACCATTCTCAGCAAAAGTAGTAGAAGTTATAAAAGGTTAAGCTCGTGGTGAAAGGGAAATGAAGAGTTAACTCCTCACATGAACTCCTCACATGTACACAACGATCCTTCCCAGCAATTGAATTTCTTACATTGTTTTTACAGAGGTTTGAATTTGTTCTTTGAGTTTTAAATTAAATTTTTTTTAAAAATTTCTATATTTATCAAACATTAAAATGAACCTTACTTTGCATGATTGGACTTTTAGTTTTAAACATTCCAAAGAGAATGGATTAATTATGTCCCCCCCCCCCCGCCCCACCACAACTACATTTATTCCTGTGTACGCCCTCGTCTTTAACTCTGGTGTTTTCTTTCTTCACGGTTAAAACATTTAGCATTATAAGAATAAATTACTTGAAGAAAAAATTAGTCATGAAATAGAGCTTTCCCAGTGCACGATATATGTCATTTTTACAATTATGTTATCAATAGAACATACAAAATGAAAAGAATTATTAATAAATTACTTCTCTGAATTTGATGATTACCCAAATTATGAAACAGATATTCTCTGGCATTCACAGCAACATGAATTATGTATCTGCACACCGGTCACGCTGGTTCAGATGTTCCGAGTGAGTCTGCACTTTTAGGCTCGAATCCTCAATCAATCAATCAACGTTAGTTTTC